GATAGCCACTGCGATACAATACTTTGTTAAATTATCCTGCATCGTGAGGATATAACGATTCCCATTAGGGGTTGTTCTTAATTTCCCTACAGTGTCTAAGGACACTTTGTCGAAAGGAATCGCTGGAGTGTCTGTTATTAGCATAGGTTCCCGAGTTCGGGCCCTAACTAGTTTGTTTTCGAGGCAACTTTTGCATCCTCGAACAAACTGTGTGACCTCGTCTCGCATCCTATTCCAATAATAACGCTCACGGATACGTCGGTAGGTTTTCGTTATGCCCTTATGGCCCCCGATAAGGCTGCCATGAAATTCAGCAATAATTTTTGGGCGTAGGTTCTCAGCAGGAACTTCAATTTTTCCGTGACAAAGAGTGATTTTGATATCACCACCGCGGAATATTCCTGCTAAGATGTCCGCCATGGTGTTTTGAGGCAAATTTCCTAGCAAGTCTCCAGAATTGGCCATACGGCAATGTATTTGGTTGTCAAGAATTAAAGCGTGTTTTAAGTTTTTTAGACCTAATGTAACGTCATTCCAGTCAAGTTCGTCGAAATGTCGTTTTTTAACTACAAAGGAATAAACTCGATATTTGCCACAAAGGGTGACGTGTACTTGACCTTTTTTTAGTTTACTGTCTCGTATATCTTGTACGTCAATCTTTTCTGTAGCAATGAGAAGTTTAGAAATAGAATCAACTGGCTCACAATCTTCAGCTATGAAATGCGCATAATTGTCTCTCTTGAAGGTGGAGGATATTTTCGACTTTAGCGTTGTCTTTGTCAGCGATAAGAATTTCTATAGGTTCAGGTGAAGATGACGAAGAGGATTCTATGTCGGAAATCTTAATGTCTATGGAGGATCGAACTCGCGGCACAGAGTGTTCTTGAAATGGTAAATCGTTCACTGTGGATTGTAGTCGGCGAGGCACAATATTTGGGTTCCGTTTATTTTCGTCTAGTTTGGTTACATCTTCCTTTCGAAACCGGGTAAATGGGGTTGACTGTGCTCCTGGGGCTGTTGAAGACCCTGGGGTGAAAACTGGAAAATTGGCACTATTTTCTTCGATGACTTCTGGTAATTCTTGAAATCGTACAACACTTCGCATTTCCCGAGACAAGGGATGGCTCGTCATGGGAGTATCTTTCAAAGTTTCAGATGTTGAGGGAACAATGGTGGAAGGTATTGCCTGAGTGTCGAGTTCCTGTTCCGGTGATCTTGCATTTCCCCGATTTTTATTGAAGCTTTCCAAAAATTTGTTAACTCGTTCTGCAAAAACATCGTCATTGGTTTCTTCGCATGGATCCATAGCTTTTAATTGCTCAAGATATTCTTCATCGTTTTCTCCTTCCGATACATAGGCTCTACTTCTTTGGGTTTTGTTCATAAATTCATTATCCCACATTAGAGTTTGATCGTAGATATAAGATTGGGTTGCTCCTGCATTTACTGAAGGTTCGACTAGTTGAGACGATTGATTGCATGAAACGTTTGGAATCGTTGACTCACGTTCAACCTCGGTATCAGAAGAGGATTCGGAGCTTTCTTCGCTGTCAACTGGCCTGGGAGGTGCTACGACGACCACTGGTTCCGAGGGTGTTTCTTCGACATGTTCCTCATCTGAAGAGTCAGAGGAGCTGGATTCTGAGGCTAGTTCAAGCATCGCGCCTTCTCTTGCCAAACGATCAGCATTTTCGTTTCCGTCGACTCCATTATGACCAGGTACGTGTTCCCAAATAACGTCTGTCTTTTTCATTGCCTTAAGTAGTCGCTCATATGCACTTTTATTTTTCACTGGCTTATTCTCATTTGTTTTCCAGCCATTTTGCTGCCATTTTGGAAGCCATTCCTGGACTCCTTGGACGAGGGACTTCGAGTCGGATTTAATCTTGAGATGTTAGAATCCGGCTCTTTTTGCCTGCTTGATGGCTACTACAGCTGCTTCGATTTCAGAGGCATTGTTGGTCTGCCGACCTCCATATCGCTTGGAGATGTTAAGTGGATTGTGTGGTCCAAACCACACACCAATTCCAGCACGTGGACGGACTCCTCCGTTGTCGCAACAAGCGCCATCTACGTAAACGTCGATGTATGGAATCAGTGGATTGGGAATGGCAGGTTGAGAAGTTGACGGAATGTTCTCCTCTGGAGATGATATTCTCGATGTTATATGCGGGGGAACACTAGGGAAAACACTATGATCAGCGCGGAAAACGGGAGCTTCAGATGTCTCTTCATTTTCGCTTTCTGAAGCGGGTTCGTCGGAAGAAGATGATTGATTTTCTTCGGGTAGAGCTTTTTCTTGAATTTCCAACTTTCTTTTTCTTAGCCGTTTTGCAATGCTACTGATGTTGGGATCAACATCCTTCGTTCCTGTAGGGGGAACGTAAGTGTCTTCGTCTCCTTGTTCCTTTAATTTAGTAGATCCTAGAGGTCTTCCTCGAGGTCTGGCAGCAGGTGGATTTGTTGCTGCTGATGTTCCAGGGACAGGAAAATTATCTGCACTTGCACGTACGGATTTTGATTTTATTACAGGTCGTGATTCTGTCGCTAGAGTTGGTTTTTTCGTGGATCCTGTGGATTTTGTTGCTCGAGATGTCGCCGGTGGAGGTGGTGGTTGTCTCGCTCCCCATGGTGGTCTCGTCAGCTTTGAAGATGGCGGGTTATCCCTCTTTTCTCTTGTAGGATTAGGAATCGGATTAAATCGTGGAGCAGGTGTTTTCGTGTGAAGGCTCTGTGATCTTGTCAGGAGTCTTTGGGGTGCACTTGATTGAGAGGATCCGGTATTGTCTTGATTGTTTCCCGAATTCACTCGCGCACTTTCACTACTTTTTGCTTGAGTATCTGTTTGTGTAATAGGCAGGGCACGTAGTGGGGGTGAACTATTTTGAGGTTCAATACTAGGTTCACTCTGTTTATCCTGACTAGATTCCTCAGATGAATCGGTCCATTCTGATTCGGGGGATTCTACGTCCTTCTTTTCAGGGTCATTAGCGTTAACAGGATGGTTTGACAGGGCCTCAACAATTCTACTCATTTTGCCTGGTTTATACTCAAATTTATAGCGATATCCGCGAAGTTTCAACCGATATTTTTGGAGCCGAGTACCTGGATTTTCGACATAATTCATCCAATGAACCGGTTCGCAATCGCATGACAGGACAAATTCTGGGCCGTATAAATAGGGTCGAAAGTGTTCCAAAGAATACAAAACGGCTAGGCACTCTTTTTCTGCCTTGAGGTAATTTTGTTCAGTGGCATTTAAAACCTTGGAATAGTATGCGACGGGAAGATCGATTCCGTCTACCTCCTGAGTTAACATCGAACCAATGGCATGCTGAGAAGCATCAGTCGTAAGTGTAGCGGCTAACATATTCACGCTAAGTAATAGATATTATTTAATTTGTTATTAAACAATTCATCTTGTAAATATTTTAACAAATATAATATTCACGGTCAAATATAATTTCAAAAATGATAGTTTGAAGAAAATCATGTACCTTTGGTATCTCCTACACTCAGGTAGGCCGCCAGGCGACCGCAATAAAAGTCGGTACATTCTGGTTGTCGCAAACTTTAGAATTTGAGCATTTTTGTAGTTGAAATAATAAAATAAAATAATTTCGAAATATTCATCGACCAGTGTTGCCGATTCTACGGAAAATGCATTTTCACTAATTATACAAAAGACCACGGCAACATTGCCTTTTTTTGGGTACGAAATGTACAAGCCCTTCTGGCGGAGTCAGTACTCTGTTGACTACAAGCTACTCGCGACTATTACTCTCTCCCGTGTTCAGCATTTTATATAAATTTATCGAACTTTTAATAAATATCGTATGTTTTTAATGTAACCTTAATTTGATTTCTTTCTCCTTCCTTTATTTATTTAATAAACAAACCGTAGGATAAATACCTACAAATTGGTGACCCCGACGTGATCTGTGAGAAAGAACAAAAAGTGCAACGTACAAGTGTTACATCGTTAATATTAATTGTTACAGGGTTATATTACGATTGTTAGTGTTACATAACAAAGTGTTACAGTGCAACAAAAATTTTTTTTTCTTCATAAAAATGCCTTTAATTCCGAGAGATAATGTGACCACGCCCCCAACGGCAACTACAACAAATACGACGTTAACAAGTGCCGGAAATTTTTTAAATATGACGAGTGATATGTTTCAAAATCCTGCAGCTAATTTATATAATCCATATAATGAAATCAATCGATTAGCTGTGAAACTTCCTCCTTTCGTGGAATCTGATCCGGAAATGTGGTTTGTTCACATTGAGAGCCAATTCGCACTTGCCGGAATAACTTCCGATGAAACGAAATATAATTACGTGGTAAGTGGCATGAATGAAAAAATATGGAAAGAAGTGCGCGATATTATGCAAAATCCACCTGCGACCGGGAAATATATTAAAATAAAAACGGAATTGATTCGTCGGTTAAGTGCATCACAAGATTCGAAAACGCGCAGACTCTTAGAGCACGAGGATATTGGAGATCGTAAACCATCTTAATTTCTTCGTCATTTACGAATTTTGGCGGGAAGCGTCGTTCCCGACGAAGTTATTAGAACTTTATGGTTAGCTCGATTACCGTCTTTTACACAAGCTATTTTGGCATCTCAAAAAAATAACGAACTCGATCAGCTCGCGGATTTGGCCGATTCGATCGTAGATGCGAGCCCGCATGCTCAAGTTTCGGAAGCCGCGATGCCACTACACGTCGTGATGCAGCAAATGACCCTTATGAGCAACACTATCGCGGAATTGGCCACGGCCGTCAAGGGATTACAAGAAAAGAAAAACAACAATGAATATTATGGACGCTCGCGCAGTCGTAATAATCGTTGGCATTCTCGAAATAGATCAAAAAGTCGCGGAAAAAGGGATAATGACATGTGTTTTTACCACGCGAAGTTCGGTGATAAAGCTAGGAAGTGTGACCTTCCGTGCAATTATAAATCGGGAAACGAGCAGGGCAAGTGCTAATGGAGGCCAGCACCGTTTGCCCACAATCGCGTCGCCTCTTTGTTACGGACCAATCAACAAAAACACAATTTTTAATTGACACAGGAGCAGATCTCTGTGTTTTTCCTCGCACTATGGTCCCCGGTCGAAGAGAGAAGACGAATTATGAATTATATGCTGCGAATGGTACCCTGATTGCCACATACGGTTTTGAAACGATTAATCTCAACATAGGGTTGCGGAGAAATTTTTCGTGGCGTTTTGTTATCGCCGAAGTTAGCAAACCAATTATCGGGGTAGATTTTCTCGGTCACTACTCGTTATTAGTCGATATACAAAATCAACGTTTAATTGATAATAACACAACCGTTTCCGTAGTCGGTCACGTAGTAGATTGTAGCAGTCAATGGCTAGATATACGATCAATCGCCGGTTCTTCACAATGGCACAAATTATTAGAAAAATATTTAGACGTCACAAGACCCTCTGGCATCGAAGGAAACGTGAAGCATACTACAAAACATCACATTCACACTACACCAGGACCTCCAATTGTCGAACGTCCCCGACGACTCGCACCGGATAAGTTAAAACTGGCCAAGGAAGATTTCAGCCAGATGATAACCTTAAAAATTTTACGACCGTCAAAAGGACGTTGGGCTTCGCCACTACATTTGGTTCCGAAGAAAAATGGTTAATGGCGACCTTGCGGAGACTATCGCCGTGTAAATGAAAGAACCATACCGGACCGTTATCCTGTGCCTCATATCGAAGATTTTGCTCAATCTCTGCACGGGAAGAAAATTTTTTCCACCATCGATCTTGTGCGCGCGTATCACCAAATTCCTGTCGCGGAAGAGGACATTGAAAAAACTGCGATTACCACGCCATTTGGACTTTTCGAATTTTTGTCCATGCCGTTCGGTCTTCGAAACGCGGCGCAAACCTGGCAAAGGTTTATCGATGATTTATTGCGCGATTTTGACTTTGTTTATGCGTATATTGACGACATATTAGTGGCTTCGAAAAATGAAAAAGAACATTCTGAACATTTGGAACTTATTTTCAAGAAATTTCAAGATTACGGTGTAGTGATTAACTCGGCAAAGTGCGTGTGGGGTGAACCCATTGTGAAGTTTCTCGGTTTTGAAGTGTCGGAAAACGGGATTAAACCTTTGCCCGAAAAAGCGGAAGCAGTGCTACAATTTCCCAGGCCACAAACAGCGAAAGAGCTTCGGCGTTTTTTAGGTACCGTGAATTTTAGCAGACGATGTTTACCCAATGCAGCAGTGACGCAAGCTCCATTACATGACCTTTTAAAAGGAAAAATAAAAGGAAAGGCAGTTCTTTCCTGGAATGAGGAAGCTGTCAAAGCTTTCGAAGATTGCAAGAAAAGTCTCGCAGAAGCTGCGATTCTATCATACCCAGCACCCGGAGCGCCACTGGCTATATTCACGGATGCATCTGATTTCGCTATTGGAGCAGTTTTACAACAATACGTAGATGGAAAATGGCAACCGCTTGCATATTTTTCAAAAAAACTTAGTAGTGCGGAGCAAAAATATTCCACTTACGATCGCGAGTTATTAGCAATTTACAAGGCAATTAGACATTTTCGACATATGGTTGAAGGCAGAATTTTTGTCATTTATACGGACCATAAACCACTCACATTCGCCTTTAGACAAAAAAGTGATAAGTGTACGCCTAGACAATTTCGACACCTCGATTTAATAGGACAATTTACGACTGATATAAGGCACATTTCTGGTAGTGACAATATCATCGCGGACGCTTTGTCAAGAATCGAGGCAGTTTCAACAGGAATAGATTTTGCAGCACTTGCAAAAGAACAAGAAATGGACACAGAATTAAAAAAATTGCAAAATGATGGAACATCATTACAATTTAAACATGTTCAACTTCCAGGAACAAACATTTCCGTCTTATGTGACGTCTCAACACCAAAAGCTCGACCTTTTATCACTAGAAGTTTCAGGAAAATTGTTTTTAATTCATTGCATCAACTTTCCCATCCTGGAGCGAGAGCTACGGCAAAATTAGTGTCCGATCGCTATGTTTGGCCACGAGTGCAGGCAGATTGCAAAACATGGACGAGAGCATGTGTACATTGCCAACGCGCGAAAATTTCAAGACATGTTTCAGCACCAGTTTCACATTTTATTTCACCCACATCGAGATTCGAACATGTGCACATGGACATCGTGGGACCATTGCCTTCTTCTCAAGGATATAAATATTGCCTTACGTGTGTTGATCGTTTTTCACGTTGGCCAGAAGCCATACCTGTGGAAAATATCGAGGCAACGACGGTAGCCAAAGCCTTCCTCTCAGGATGGGTCGCGAGATTTGGTCCACCCCTTCGCATCACGACAGACCAAGGACGACAATTCGAATCGCATCTTTTTCGCGAATTAAACATGCTTCTCGGATCTCAACATCTTCGAACAACTGCTTTCCATCCAGCTGCCAATGGTCTCGTCGAGAGGATGCATCGTCAACTGAAGACGGCAATTAAATGCCATGCTACAGAAAAATGGACAGAAGTTTTACCAATAGTTCTTTTAGGCATGAGATCCGCGTGGCGCGAGGATCAACAAGCATCTGCAGCTGAACTACTTTACGGCGAAACACTCAGACTACCTGGTGAGTTTTTATCGCCATGCCAGAGCAATACAACCAATGGATCATCGGAATTTGTCCAAAATTTGAGAGAATACTTCAAGGAACTTCAACCTGTGAAAGGTACCAGACATGGCAGTGGAAAAATTTTTATTTTTAAAGATTTACCAACAGCTGAACAAGTGTTTGTAAAGCGCGGCATGCCATCTAAATCATTGGAACCAACGTATAATGGACCGTATCCAGTCATCCAGAGATCAGACAAAACATTTGTTGTCAATATCAAAGGCAAAAATGTTACCGTCTCGATTGATAGACTGAAACCAGCCTACATGCTACCGGAAGAAAAACAACTGCAAGATAGTCTAATGAAAGAAAGTCAACAAAAAGATGAGAGCAATTGCAACCAACAACAACCGAAGACTGACGACAAAGTTAACGACAGCTCTGAGGGACGTAAAACTAGGTCTGGCAGAAGAGTTCGATTTCCAGACTATTTGCAAAGTGGTTTCTCATAAAAATTTTTTTTTTTAATTTCTATACTTTTTTCTACTTACTATTTTCATTGCTTTTTGGAAAATTTTAAATACACAAATCTAAAACATTTATATCTTTTATCATTTCATAACTTTTAAAATTTTATTTTCAAATTTAACAAAAATAAATAATCTAGTTAACAATTATAAAAGAGAATTTTATGGTATCACGTATATTAATATTTTTTTTTTCAGATCGTTATATTTTTATTCGTGTTCTACGTTATTATTGTACGCATACATATATTAGATGTATAAATTCGCATATTTTATTTAAACTTACAATTGGTAATAACTTGAACACTGGTGAGGGAGTGTATGTAGCGGCTAACATATTCACGCTAAGTAATAGATATTATTTAATTTGTTATTAAACAATTCATCTTGTAAATATTTTAACAAATATAATATTCACGGTCAAATATAATTTCAAAAATGATAGTTTGAAGAAAATCATGTACCTTTGGTATCTCCTACACTCAGGTAGGCCGCCAGGCGACCGCAATAAAAGTCGGTACATTCTGGTTGTCGCAAACTTTAGAATTTGAGCATTTTTGTAGTTGAAATAATAAAATAAAATAATTTCGAAATATTCATCGACCAGTGTTGCCGATTCTACGGAAAATGCATTTTCACTAATTATACAAACGACCACGGCAACATTGCCTTTTTTTGGGTACGAAATGTACAAGCCCTTCTGGCGGAGTCAGTACTCTGTTGACTACAAGCTACTCGCGACTATTACTCTCTCCCGTGTTCAGCATTTTATATAAATTTATCGAACTTTTAATAAATATCGTATGTTTTTAATGTAACCTTAATTTGATTTCTTTCTCCTTCCTTTATTTATTTAATAAACAAACCGTAGGATAAATACCTACAGTAAGTTTAAACGGTTTTTCGAAGTCGGGTTACTGCAGGATGGGTTTTCGACATAGATATTTTCTAAGATCTTTAAAGCTTTGTTGTTGTGCGTCCTCCCATTTCCAGTCAGCAGTTTTCTTTAACAAATCGGATAATGGCTTCGCTACTTTGGCATAGTCTTTAATAAAACGCCTATAGTATCCTGAAAGGCCAAGAAAGCTACGAACTTCTTTTTGAGTTTTCGGTACCGGAAATTGCTTTATAGCCAGAATTTTGGCAGGATTCGGTTTTACTCCATCCTTACCGACAAAATGGCCAAGGTAGGCCACTTCCTTTTTCAGGAATTCGCATTTGTCGGGTTGGAGTTTCAGATTTGCAGCTCTAAGTCTACTAAATAGTCTTCGAGCACGCCTATCGTGTTCCTCAAGGGTATCCGAATATATAATGATATCGTCAAGGTACACAAAGGCTTCTGAATCAAGCATTCCACCCAAAACATTATTTAAGAGACGCTGGAAGGTTGGGGGAGCGTTTTTTATTCCCATGGGCATTCGCTTATATTCGAAATGCCCATTTCGAGAGGAAAAAGCTGTTTTATGTCGGTCATCGGGGTGGGTTTCGATTTGATGGAATCCGCTGGCAAGGTCGAAAACTGTAAAGAACCTCGCAGTTCCGAGCTTGTCAAAAATTCCTGAGATGTTAGGAAGGGGAAAAGCATCCCCTATGACCTTCTCATTCAATGCTCTGTAGTCAATAACTACCCTCTACTTTCTTTTACCAGAAGCGTCAAGTTTCTTAGGTACAATAAGTAAAGGGGAATTATATGGAGAGCTAGAATGTCCAATGATGCAGCTATTGAACTGTTTGGTTAATTGTTCATCAATTTGTTCTAGGGCTTCATTGGGAGATCGGTATTGCTTTTTGTGAATTACCTTATCGTCGGTGGTAGGGATTCTATGTTGGATTAAGTGAGTGCAACTTAGTTGCTCTCCGTTAAGATGAAAAATGTCAGCAAAATCTTCAGCCCAATTAAGGACATACATCTTTTCTTCCCAATTTAAATGAGATAAGAAAAGAGCGTCCTTAACCTTTTGGATTCGTTCAGAATACGAATTTGCTTGTGGGGTAGGATTTTCAGGTTCGGAGTCATATTCTTCATCCCCTAGTGATTCACAAAAATCAAAAGGAATTAATTCTTGAGGAGCCAATTCCAAGTCGATGTCATTTTCAGTGGTGTTAATTGCCATTACGTGACAAACTCCGTCTTTACTATTTACTGCTGCTTCACCTAGATATACTCCCTCAGGTGTTTTAATTCGAGGAAGGTACCCTTGATGTAATTCAGGGTTGGTGACATCAATAGCAATAGGATTTCTAGTCCGCGCCTGAATTCGAAAAACCCTTTTGAAAGGTTTAATTAAGGGTTTTAAGATCTCTCTTTCCGTCAGTGATTCCTTATCCACAAAAGGGATAGGGGTCACTGGATTGGAGATAGTGACCAGGGTGTTGTGCCAAAACGAGAGCGTGGCTTTCTCTAGTCGTAGGTAGGGTCGCCCCAGAATTCCATGCGTGGAAAGAGGAAAACTGTTCCTTACCACGTGGAATTCAACAGGAGAATCTTTTATAGTGATATTAATGGTGCCAAGCGTCTTTAC